GGTTATTATTACTTTTACTTAAGTACAATTCTTATCAGTGAAATTTGTTTTAACCAAAATTATTTGCTGTATGGTATTTTTACTTTTATTTAATTATTTGTTTCAAGTACTTTGCACACCTCAGATTCAGACAGAAAAGTTTCTATCACATTAAAGTGATGGTTCAGATATAWTGAAATTCAGTTCGGTGGAACGGTTATGAACAATTATTATCTTACCTGTTATAGATAGCTCTTTGAAGACTCTGAATTTTGAAAAACAAAGTTTAATTCTGGCTAAGATGACAAGTTAAAACCTAATCTGAGTGGCGCAGAGACTAAAGTGGATTTCTAGCGGTGCCTGTGAATGTCTGGCAGGAATATCATAATACACTCAAAAAAAGCTGTGTTGGATTTACTTAACCAAGTTATGCAAACAATTTCGACTCAAGTGAGCTGAGTAAATGTAAAGAAACGTTCACATTTATTTTTAAATAAAATGAAAGTTGCTTTACTCAACTCACTTGAGTGGAAGCTTTTGACATAACTAGGTTAAGTAAATCCAACAATCTGCTTTTTGAGTGTACTTCTGCTTGAATAATCATGTAAATATAAACTGGTTATGTATCCAATACTTATGAAACTAAGTCTGAACTTATCACATTTAAAATCACTAACCTGGCTTTTTTACAGAATGAGCACGAGTCTCAACAGCTTGATTTTTTTATATTTATTCCTGTTTATGAATCCTCACTTGATGAAGTAGATGAGTACACAGAGCAACAATTGATGATGTTATAATGATCCACAGAGTGTTAACGTGCATGAAAGAGCTTTCTGTTAAATGTAAAATGTTGTCATTTCTTTTATGAGAGATTTTTAGATTTACACTGACCTAATAATAATCAGGAAAATATTCATAGTTTAGTGCAAATGGAGGGGAAAAAAGAAACGTGTGTTTTGTCTTTCAGCTCCAACAGACTAATGCTAAATAATGCATGACTAAAACCTCTTATTCTCTAAATTTTAAATGTTTTTCTGTTAGCAAAAATAACTTAGGAGATCCACATGCAGCAGAGTGACTAAAATCACAGAGTTCAAGTTTGACAAAGGTCTTTTTAACCAAATCTTTTCATTTCCAACCCCTCCTTACATACCTTACCTGCCATTTGGGTTCTTTTTTTAAATTTTCATATTTTATAATAAACATTGAGGTGACTCATAAATGAATCAAAATGAATATTTAGGTGTTTTCATTTTTTTTTCAGACACCACAGATTGAAATTCTCATCCATTTAACTCACCTAACAGGATTTAAGCTTTGGACTCCCTCTGCTGGTTTTCTCATGACAGGCTGGACTGCTTGAGACGTCTCCTCTTTAAGAGCACACTGTGGAAAAAATTACCAATAGTTCATTTAAAAAAAATGACAAACTATATTGAAAGAGCAAATTATGTTCCTTTTTCTCATGATATCCATCAGAGCTGACAGAGAAAATGTAATAAAAACAACTTTGTTTCTGTGAGAAACATGAGGAATCTTGTCCAGCTTGGAGTTTTGTCTCTAAGTTTATTCTGCCTCTCCAAGGTCTCTTTATCCCAACAGCTTCAGACAGGCTCATTACTCTATAAGACAAGCTTATAGACAGTAAGGCCTGATAAAGATGGATCAATGATATTGATCAGTTCTTACCTCAGTATGGAAAAGCAGGGAGARGCAAGACAGACAGAAAGGGCATTCACGTTAGAGAAAAAGTTTYCAACCACTTTCCTCACAAAGCTCAGAAAAACTTACAACTTTCCTCTAGTTTCTAAATGACACTGACAGAGCTGTAGGCACTTTGACAAGTTAAATTTATTTACGTTTAAGAATCGAACTAAGAAACAAAGTGCAGCTTTTTTTTTCCCGCAGGTGTTGTTGGCTCAAACTAACGACTTCATGTTTGGATCTCAGACTCAGACTTCAGATTACCATTCACCTGTCGCTCATCAGCTTCAACAGTCTGAAAGGTACATTTGATTTCTTATTTAGAACTTGGAAAATTAAAAAGAAAGTCTGGCTCAGAAAATGTATTTAATGGAATTAATGTCAAAAGGCGCAACAGTGTGTTGAGGATCAAATTACATAAAGTGGAAACAGCAGAGTACATGTAAAGATCAAAATAACCAGTAATGTTAAATTCAGATATTTCTAATGAAAGTGTTTGCTTTTTTTTTTTTTACCCCAAACATGATTGGTGAATGGAGAACATTAAGAAAAATAAAAACTATCCATATAAACTTTGCCTCCTAGATAGAGTGAATTTAACTGTGGTTGAATGAGAAGTATAAATATATAAAACTCTGATAGTGTATTAGTTTGTACACAAACAAATCATGTCACACTCCAGCAGGACAGAATCATTCAAATAAAAGGACTGTACTTAAGAAGTATTTGTATTTCTTGCATTTGGCCGCAGCCCTCAGATAGATTTTCATTTTGGGGAAAAGCTTTGTGCAGCCTTGATACAACTGAAACAGCTGGACTAGTGCATCCTAAATTTAACATCCATTCATTCTTTTAATACAACAGTCATT